GTATGTGCATTATATGTTATCGTTCGATAGATACATGCATATTGAAATGTCATGATCCAATGGTAAGTATGAACTTTCATAAGTTTATTGTTGCATATTCATTTATTGCCTCACTAAGTCTATGACTTAGCGTGTAAGTGATTTACACGTAGGTACCAAGAATCAGGAAAAGTGGAAATAGAAATAGCACGGACATCAATACTACTAATAGATCAGATCAGAAGTAATTGACAAAGTATGTACTTGGTTATGTATAGAATGTTGGCATGTAATAAGTGTTAATTACGAATACTCTGATCGATTTTGTATTTTATGGTCTTATGTAAATTAATGTATTTTGTTTTAATGAAAGTTTTAAAAATTCCCGGGTTTTTTTATAAGAGTCAAAGTTTGAAAAGTCAATGTGACACCTCAGACTTGTATTCGGGTTGAATATGTGTTAAAGGTGTTACATTAGTGGTTTAGTTTCGATAATTAAAAAAGTTCAAGGACTAATTTAGATAATTTGTATATAGGTCTTATTATTAAAGATTGAAGGTTAGAAAGGCAAAGTGGTCTTTTGTCATGAAAGGGATTAAAAATTCATTTATAAGGTTATTTAAGTATGTGGGAAATGAGGAAAAATGAAAGGAGAATTCTAGATACTCTTATCTTCTCTTCTTCTCTTCCACTGTATGCTTTCATGATTAAGGTAAGTTAATTAAAGTTGTTTCATTCCTTTATTTTTTTATTTGGTTTTGGTTCTTTTGATAATATAAAAGCTTAATAAAGCTTAAAGATGAGTATATAATAAGGGATGGATAAATTAATAGTGATTTAGTAAAATGAGTTTTTTAGGGAATCGTTAGGAAATGATGAATATTTGAATTCTAAAGGAATATTTGACTTGTCAAGGGTTTAATTAAGGGATTAAAAGTATAAAAAAAGATTAAGAACATATTTGAAGAAGTGATATGATTTTTAGTCTCAAGAGTTATATGGATAAATTTGGATGTCTAAAGGAGATTGTTGTATATAAGTTAGTTGGGGTAAGAGTAAGTAAGTTTAAAGGCATGAATGGGGTATAAAGTAGGATATTTAAGTTAAGATGGGTAAATTTTCGAAATGATACAGAAGAATTCTGGGTAAGGGTATCGGTACTGGAAGAACAATAACGATACTATAAGGTTAAAGTTAAATAATTTTGTATGAACCGAAGATTAGTATCGATACTAATTGAATTAGTATCGGTACTGATGTGGAGGTATCGATACCAAGATGACGGTATCGATACTGTAGTTGAAAGGAGATTTATAGAATGCTAAAATGGTATCGGTACTGAAGTGGGTATCGGTACCATATAAGAGAAATATCGGTATTGTAGGCAGAGTATCAATACTAGTTAGTTTGAAATGTTAAATTAAGTGTTTTATTTCGTTTAAGTAAAGATTAATTGGGTAGGTGTAATTGAGCTCTAACATTCATGGGTCATATTAATGTGTAGATTTGATCGGAAGCAAGTGTTTGAACAAATGACGTGCAGAGTTAGTAAGCTAAAGTGAAAGAGGGGTTGCTTAAGGCTTAAGTGAGGGAAATGTGAGTGTTATTTATTTAAATAATTTATGATGGGAGGAAGGCTTGTGATGAGCCAACCTAAAATTGTTTTTAAATAAAATGAAATGACATGAGTTTATGTGAAGATTTTCTATATGAGTATAATTCCTATAAGTAAATGAATAAGTGTAATATGAAATAGTTATATGAATCACTATGAATATATGTTATGTGATTAAAGGAAAATATTGAAGAATGCTATGAGAAATTAAATACTTTGAGTAAATGTTTGAATATGAATAAATAAGAAAATTTGATAATGCTACGTGACAAATATCTACGTGAAGTATATGTGAATATGTGATAAGTGTATATGTTTTATAGAACATAAATGATGTGAAGAAAAATGTTCTAGTGAAAAATGTGATCTACGTGAAACTGTTATACGTGAAAGTAAACTACGAGAATGTACTATATGAAAATAAGATACACTTTCATTAGTGAAACTCAAAATAATTATAAGTTAAAGCCATATGTATATGTATGAGAATTAGAGGTATAGTTGGTATGCCAAGAGTCGAGGGTTCTACGCGGTCCTTCGGGACAATCTATGTGGTCATTCGGGACAAATTCTACGAGTTCATTCGGGACAAATTCTACGTGGTCATTCGGGACAAACCTATGTGGCACTTTAGTGTAAATTATGTGAGTTGTGGTGACAACATTAGTGCACAGCCTCAATGTACTCACATACCTTGAGTTCTCAGTATTACACGTTGGGCCGATTAAACAAATGGATATTAAATGAAAAGTGTATAAGTTATATGTAGTGATGTTTGTAATTTTAAACTTTCTTTTATAAATTTATACAAATGTTTTATTGTTTCATATTATTTATAATGTCTCACTAAGTCAATGACTTAGCGTGTGAGTTTTTTCACACGTATGTTCAAGAGTATGCGAGATGTAAGTAGAGTAAGCAAGGGCATGACATCATATCTTTGCAGATTTTCAGATTAGAGAAATGTAATATTGTATGTGATAGTGTCACAGGAAGGTTGTTGGCATATACCATAAAAGTAAATTATAGATCTTATGATATGTATTTTAACTATGATTTATTAAGTTTTATGTTCATTTTCATGTTTTTAATTGTAATTTAAAAAGGGTCAAAGAGTTTGAAAAGTCAATGTGACACATTGGATTCGTATCTAGGTTGAATACGGGTTGGGGTGTTACAGTAAATATTAAATATCAAAGTTAAAAAGATTCAAAAAAAAAAATTGTATGTCATACCACAAATCGACCGACGATGTCGATCATCATCCGTATGTGTCGTGCAGTGGCACCCACCAACTTCGTCTTTGATATTTTATGACGCAATCTAAAATATAAAAAAAAAATTATTATAAACAAATAAAAAATTAAAAAATTAAAAAAAAGTTAAAATAAATGAAGTTAAACAATTATATTCCAGCCAACGAAAACTCGATCGAGGCTTCTTTAATTGGCATAAAAAAAGGAAGCAATACCAAGCCCAAGATTGTAGCAGTATCAGACAGCATGCTACATCGACTTTTCGACCCGGCATTACAAATGCAACCCTACAAAGCTCCCAGTACAAAAAGACTAGAATCGCCGAGCCCCAGCTAGGGATGGCAACTCAACCCGAATCCGACGGGTTCCGACCCGACCCGACCCGATCGGGTCGGATTTTTTTTAAAAAAATTTTGGTTCGGGTCGGGTCGGGGTTTTTTTTAATGCACTGTTCGGGTCGGGTCGGGTTTAGGGTAAAAAAATCCGACCCGACCCGAAAAATATATATAATTTTATCTTATATATTTAGGGATAATTACAATAATATCCCTCCATATATAATTTTTTTCAATTAAGTCACTGTTTTCATTGAATTAAATTTTTTATTATTATTTCGGGTCGGGTCGGGTCGGGTTTCTAAGTCATATATTCGGGTCGGGTCGGGTCGGGTGAAACATTAATTTTGTCGGGTCGGGTCGGGTCACGGGTGGAGAACCCTTTCTTCTCGGGTCGGGTCGGGTGGCCCAAAAACCTGACCCGACCCGACCCATTGCCATCCCTAGCCCCAGCTGGTATTATGACACACAGCGAAGTCTTCCAAAATTTGCAGTTACTGAATGTGCACCAGATTACCATATTTATCCAGTCCAATCATTAGGATAAGAAATGCTCGAGACACGAAAACTACCTCCGCCTCGGTAGAATCAACAGTTACTTCAAATTCAGACTTCAGCCACATTATCATTACCTGTTAGCCCCTCTTGACGTCAGATGGTGGCCATTTTCCCATAACTTGGTAAACCAACGTCGAAGGGTCGTACATGTTTTGCCTCACCACGAGAGCTCCATTCACAGGAACACTGAGTTGTTAAGCGACGTCTTCTAAAGTAATCGTCGATTTGCCACTCAAGAAATGAACGTGTGCGTTTCGAGGCGCCAACGTTTGATCAAAGCCTCGATCAACGCCAAGTACACCTTGAAGCCACTTAAAAATATACCAGATTGATGCATATATGTCATCATCCGTTGATGCGACTCTCTGGTTGTCATCCCCCGACTATGAATATTACATTCCTCGTCCAACCCACGTTGGATGGACGAAACATGGACGTTATTCAGGCGCAACATACATTATCTGGTTGCCATTTTTTGAGATTTTCTCATAACGTATGGTTTTCTTTCAATTTTTTCGAATTCAAGGTTTGGTGAAAAACCAAAACCCTGTTTATAACCTTACCCCCAACGGTTGTAAACAGTTAGTATTTTGAAATCCTCGGTCGAACTCGTCACCTCGACATAATGAGTTTCAAGTGATTGTTGTTGCCCGTTGAACAACGACATATTTTTTTTTAATTCGGAGGAACTCATCACATCGACGTGACGAGTTTCATAGAATATTTTTTTATTTGATTTTATAAATTTTATTTTTTAATAAAATATTTTTTAATGAACTCATCACATCGATGTGATAAGTCAGTATTACGCCATTAGAATAATAGCCCACGTGGTGCCTACTACGCGTTGATCATTAAAAAATAGTATCACATGAAACTCGTCACTTCAAAATAACAAATTCAATATGGATTATAACATTTACTGTATTTTACTAAATAAAATTTGGATAAAACCCTAAATATTTCATATGCCTAGGATATTGGGCCAAAAAAACCAATAATAAAAATATTTTAACTACTAAAATCGCTTCATTCTTGTGACTTTACACTACTATGTACAAACCTTTTGTTAAAATTTGGATTTTTTAAAATAAAAATTTAGATGTTAATTCAACTCAAGTGTATACAAATGTATAATAAAATATATAAACTTTGGTTTAATATAATTATATATATAAATTTATTTTAAATTATATAAAAAATTAATTTTTGTTCAATTATATATTTTAAGAGAAGGTTAATTAAACTAATTAATATGATTATATATTGTTGCCGGGGAAGTTTCACAGCTAAGCAGAGTACGGGGACAAAGGCAATGGCGATACAACTACTAGAGAAGCTAAAGAACTTGGATTGGACCCTTCACTGTAAATCCGAATAAATACCTAGACCGATCCAATCATCCGAATTTTTTCTTCGTCCGATATGGTGGACGGTTCAGCCAGGAAACTGTAATCCTTAGAACCTATCCTTAGAACCTATTAAACATAAAAGGATGTAGGTGAGTAACATGAAACTTATCCTAAGAAGTTCCCTAATGTCTTCCAAGCCAAAATTTTCCTGCCCTGCTTCTTACAAGCATATGATCTACTCAGTAATATATTGACAGAGTTCGATGATGTTGGAGCGACGGGCACTGAACACCAACAGACCAGAGCCAAAGATCTAACTCCACACTCAAAACCTGAAAATCGCAAAAAAGAGGGAGTAAATGATTCATTTGAAGACATAGAAACCTTTTCTGATACTGTTTTTACAGAGCGATAGCTCGTAAACCGACATTAAGAGTTAGTGTACGAGCATGTTTAAAGAATTCGGACCGCACCTGCTTTCCGGACTTTATGCTTAGTAACTCTCTCATTTTCTCCACAGCATAAATCGAACATGCTCGAAGTTCGATTTCCTCTTCTGTCCCAGCACCTATTTCGCTACTAGCCTGAATGGCATTGGCAAGGGTCGAACTATATTTCAGCACACCAAGCTGCCGGAGGACAGCCGGAACGATATAGTCGGCAAACATAGTGATCGAGCAAATGTCACTGAATTCTCCATATCCTTGGCCCTTGAATGCACCCCACAAGTCGGCAGCAAATATCTGTGCTCTTTTGTACAAGAATACCTGGTGCCCTTTGTACACCGAGTGATCTCGAAACCCTGCAATAAATTCATCGTACACAGGATAAACTCTTCCATTCTTCAGCAGGATAAATTTCCGGTTAAATACATCGAGTGTAGTGAAAATGTACCCGGAAAATGACGTGTGACGAGTGCGACAAGCTTTACGGCTGATTTTCCACATGATTCAACAAGTTTCAATGCCTTACCCTCAAAGCTTCTTTCAAGTTCAAAACCAACCTAAACCATGAAAAATAATGATATCAAACAACTTATTGCAGGGTAGAATAAGCCCGTTAATAAAGCAATACCATCCATACTATCTATGGAATTCAAATACTAAAACAAGACAAAACCTGCAGCGATTAGTAAAATATACTACACCTCATGCAACAAACGAACCCGCTCCTCCTCTAAAGGAAGTGGTCGAGGCCATTTCAACAGCTCGCGCAGTTGCGGACCTGAAAAAAAAAGATCAGCTCATCGTTTCCTATCGATATGAAGAGCTAACGAAAAGAATGTGATGGTTATGATGGTGTCGAACACATAAACAAGGCTACTTATTGATATGAGAACATGTCAACAGATACACAGAAACGAATGTGTCCAAGCATGTGTTTTCGAATGTCTGAAAGCAAGCTTGTCAATGAAGATGAGAGAAGACCGAAAACAGAATTACCTGTGTAATTTTGCAGACGATCGGCATCGAATGCAGAGCTGTCATTCAGCAAAGCATCCTTTAATCCCTTGGCCAAATGATCATAATTTAAATCCTTATCTAACGAGGGTAACACCAACACGAGGAGAGAATGTAAGGTTAGAGCCCTAAAACTCATTAATGCCAATAACAAATGTTTTGCATATCATTGATCCCTTATAGACAATGGAAGAGAATTCCATTTTGCAGAGACAGATTACAATAAGTCAAAACACAATCATTAATCATAATCCACAAAAATTTAGCATTCAAACATATCAATAAATTCAAATTAAGAACTGGGATTTCAAAGATGTCTCAGAACTATTCACCACTAATAAACAAAAACAAAAGCATAATGATTAACAAAGAAAAACGACCAACCAATCAAAAAAGTAAATTTTAGTTTCAAAAAGAAAAACCCAGAAAGGGTTTTGGTATTTCAAAATCTAAAAAAAAAAAAAGATAAAAGGAAGATACCAGGCCAAAAACAGAAATTCAAAGCATCCAAAACAAAAAGGTATTGTACAGTGAGGGGTCCATTGTCAAAATAATGAATCCCTTCGTAATCCCATTCCACTTTGGGAATTGACTCTTTCATTTTCTCCACTACTTTCTCAATCCCTGCACTCCAAAAAAAACCCACAATCATAGTCTTTTAGAGTAGGAAAAAACCCCACATTCTCAATAGAAAAACAGAGTAATATATATATATATGGAAGAACCTGAAGAATCAATGGTGACGTGAGAAGAATTACGAGCCACCCAAGCAGAGCTTTCTCTCACTTCCTCCATAGCAGCTGAAAGAACAAGAAGAAAAACGTTTCCTTTGAACAACCCTAGAGAACCTAAGATTATAAAAGCCAAAAAGAGAAGATATTTAGTTTAGATAATGGTCAATTTTTCTTTGAAGGTGCTAGACAGTAGCACACTTGAAGCCAGGTTTTACGAGTCATTTGTTTGCGTTAATTCAAGTTTTTCCCGCTTTTGTCTGTTTGTTGGGCGGTAGGTCTGACCTAACCATATCTTGCTCGGGTTTTGGTCCCATTGGGACAAAACTCAAAAGGGACTCGAGCATGTAGGTTGGCTGGCTGACTGGACCTGGACCACCACCGACAGACTGGCCCATTTCTCACGTGATTGAGAACCGGGAATGGGTTCGGTTTGGTCACGTTCTTTTACTTTATAATGGTAACGTGTGAAGGAAGAAAGGTCGAGAGGCTAACCCTTTCTGAAAGGTTGGACCAGTAGTGCCGACAACGCATTGGTTGGTTCGAACTTGGAAATTTGTGCTTTTGGAGTTTTAATGCTCTTGCTCCCATTCGAATAGGTTGATTCCATTTATGAAAATAATAAGGGTAACTTTTCTTTTATATTTGTATACTTTTACTCACCAAAATTAAAAAAATAAATTTTAATCATTTATATTATCATTTTATTAAATTTTGATCATTTATAATATCGATTGTTACATTTTGATCGTTGGGTCACCAATGTCGGTTAATTTGATGATATGAACGTTAATCAAAAGTGTTAATTTTTAATTTAACCATTGAACTTTAGATATAATACTATTCTGACCTTGAACTTTAGACGATAGAATATCATTTTGACCATTAAACTTTAAATAAAATATCAATTTAACCTCTAAATTTAACCGAAGTCTTCCATCCCTAGGCGTCACTCACTACTGTTGCCAATAATCACTGTTGGACACTATCGACCACCGATACGTAAATCATTAATTTGTTTGTACTTACTGTTATGTATCATGTAAAGGGCACCAAAGTGCAATCACGTCGAGAGAGTGTGTTAGAGAAATACAATCATTCGCGCTAGAGAAAAAACAATCCCCATCAACTATCAAGGGCATCAGAGTGAAAACAAGCTCTCCGAAGAACAAACAAAGGCTTGAACAAGATTGTATGACATGTCATTGTATCTATAATTAGTTCCATATTGTCTACGTGACCCGTAAAACAGATAGACTTATGTAAATTGAAATTTATATAATATGTGTATTAGATAATTTTTCAAACATTAAATCCAAAATAAATGTTTTAAAAAATAAAATAAAATAAATTGAAACTATAAGCAAATATTCAGGACTAAGAATGGAATATGATTTTATAAACATGGGGTGGGGGAATACGATTGTTCATGTCTGGCAAATGACAAATACAAGCATATGACACTTAATCCAAATACAAGTAAATCAAGAACAATTACAAAAATATAAGAACCAACCTACTGCTTTGCCTATAAAAACCAAAATATTTAAGGGGAAAAAGACTTGATCATGGAGATTCTTGATCACAAACTCTCTATTTACCAATTTAATGGCAAGAAACTCAGGCAAATTGTCAAGAAAGAAGAAAACAGAAGACCAAAAGGTTCATAGTCACTAGAGAGTCTTACATCACAAGGGGCATTTAAAGGTTTTGTTGATGTTCTTCACAAACCAACATATCTGCCATGGTTGTTTTTTTTTTAAGGATTCACACCGGGACCATCTTTAAACCGGCAGCGATCGGCATGCCTATGAACCCGATGAGGACACACACACACCACTGCGTACAAGTAAGCGGCGTTGTGCTAGCGAATGCACCCAGAAATTCGATGATGAGGACTTGGAAACATGCAGTGCAGCCAAGAACAGCCACAAAAACGTAATTATTTAATATGCCGCTGAAAACATCTATTTCTTCCATATTTCGTGAGCTTATCTCGTTGAAAACCTGTTGGGGAAAGGAAAAAAAAAGAAAACAAACGAGGGCAAGCTAAAGATCAAGCAACTCGTATATTTTACTAAGTAGACGAGTGTAATCAAATGTGTTCAAATAGTTTGATCTTTGTCTCGAAATGAACTCGAACTTTAAAAATAATACTAGATTGAGTTCGAGTTCAAGCGAACTTCTAGCTTCTTTCTCTGATTATACCTCCAACGCCTTCTGGCAACTGTGTGATAGTATATATTGAAGAGTATGAAGGAGTTCTTGATAAAAAAGAGGCTTACCTGACAGAAGACAAATGAATTGAATATAAGTGTGTTCAATATCAGAGTAGAATCAGGGCCGTCGAGATTAAACAATGCTTTTCCTCTTGACTGTAGACACCATATTACCACCAACTGATAGAAAGATTGCCCAAAGATGTTCCTCCACATGACGTTACTGATAAAATTTCCTTTCCTTCCCACTGGTGAACGCTTCATCAGTTCATCGGTTGGCGGCTCGGTTGCAAGTGCAAGTGCTCCCAAAGTATCCATAATCATATTCACCCACAGTAGCTGAACAGCTGTCAGAGGAGCGCTCCCTGCAGCATACAAAAAAGTATGTTGTTCAGACTTTTCCATTTTATAATACTTGTATTTGACATGCATGTCCGACATGTGGTCAGAGACGGGTGGAATCAGAAAATTTAAGTTCGATACGAGTACAAGTAAAAAATTATCATCATTCACAAAGAAAGTTAGGACATAAGTTTGAAATATGAGTAGGCAAATATATCCCTTTCTAACCTGTCAAACATGCTGAGGAGAAATTAACAATCAAGGCAACAATGTTGACAGTCAGTTGAAATTGCACAAATTTTTGAATATTTATGTATACTGAACGGCCCCATTTGGCCACTGTCAAAATTGTTGTGAAATTGTCATCCAGAATTATGACATCAGCACTCTCCTTGGCTACCTGGAATTAAACGCAAGATTAGTTAGATCTTCTTCATTTGATTGGTACACGATGCATGCACAATGTGAAAATTTAATGCATTACTGACTTCAGTTCCAGCAATTCCCATTGCTAACCCGATATCTGCTTCATGTAGAGCTGGGGCATCATTCGTTCCATCACCAGTCACAGCAACAACTTCATCAAACATGGTTCGTAATTGCTTTACTAGAGTGTGCTTATCCATAGGAGAAGATCGAGCTATCACCTGCAAAAGAAAGGAACATTGAGGTATATAAAGTCATTATTTATCCTTGTTACAAGCACCTGACTGGTATGTGAAGCAAAAGAACAACAATTTGGAGGATACCTGAATCTTAGGAATCAAACTAAGCATTTCTTCCTGCGTCTTCTCTCTGAAATCCGGACCCTCAATGGCTACACCTCCATCTGTAAGAATTCCACATTCCCTGGCTATGGCCTTTGCAGTGTTTATGTTGTCTCCGGTAACCATTCTTACAGTAATGCCGGCGGTTCGACAAGTAGCAACAGATTCTCTGACACCAGGGCGAACAGGATCCTTAATGCCCACGATTCCTAAACAAGTATACCCCGAAACTGGTATAGCACTGTCCGGGGAGAAACCTTTTTCAAGTTCCACATAGCCAAGGCACAGGGTTCGGAGAGCCTCATTAGCAAACTGATTTATTATATCATTGAGGTGGTTCATGGATTTTTCATCCAAGGGAACAACTTGTCCATTAGAATTGATCACCTTGTCACATCCAGCCAACACTATCTCTGAAGCTCCTTTCGTATGTGCTCGTAATGATGCTCCAGGAAGCTCCAGCACCACACCCATCCTTTTCTTTGTGGAGTTGAATGGCTCAACCTTAACAGTTTTTGATGCTTGTCGTTCTGCTTGGGGATCTCCACCTAGAGCCAAGCCAAGCTCTAATAAAGCAGTCTCTGTGGGAGTTCCCAATATCTCACGTTTTCCGTCTTTGCCGATAACAATTTCACCCCCGGAGTTCAGAAAAATTGATTGTAGCAGAAGTTTTACAGAGGATTCTGGAATGTCAGAGCAGAAAGAAGTTTTATCAACGTTACTTACTTCCTTGACATTCATGCAAATGCATGATTTCACGACCGTCATGCGATTAGTGGTTAGTGTCCCAGTTTTATCGCTACAAATACTCGTTGCTGACCCCATAGTCTCGCAAGCCGCAAGGTGTCGAACTAGCGCTTTATCATTCATCATCTTCTTCATGGCAAAAGCAAGGCTCAGAGTCACTGCCAATGGTAGACCCTCTGGAACTGCAACAACAACAATTGTCACTGCAACAGCGAAGAACTCCAGCAGTTTCAGTAACTCATCGCCAGACCAACTCCAGATACTCCCCTCCTGCACTTTATTCACTACCAGTCCTTGAATCATTACAGAAAAAGTCACTACAGCAAAAAACAGGCCTACCTTCCCTATAATGGTTGCTACTCCATTCAATTTCACCTGCAGCGGTGTCTCATCATCTCCACCTTCACTGAGGGTTGCCATCAATTTACCCCATTGAGTCCTCATCCCAACAGTGGTAACCAGCATCTTGCATGATCCATCCTGAAGCTTAGTACCAGAAAGCATAAAAGGGTTTGTATCATTCACAAATACCGGCTCACTCTCCCCTGTTAAACTTGATTCATCTATTAGCACTGAAAATCCCGAGACGAAAAGGCCATCAGCAGGGACTTGATCACCAATATTAAGGTGTACAATATCACCAGGAAGCAAATCATATATAGACATTTTCTGCCTGCAATCACTTCTTGTTACCTGAATGGTGATTTTCTTTTTCTCCTTGTCCAAATCCTTGAACTGCAGAGATTGGCGATAATCGCTCATCGCCGTGACGAACACAACCAATAAGATACTCACGACGATCCCGAGTCCATCATGAGATCCTTCCGGCCAACCTTCCATCGCTATCCCAACGGCCAACGACATGATAGCGCACACCCCGAGGATCATAAGGGTCATATCATGAAGAGCTTCCCAAACAAATACCCAGAATCCCTTAGCTTCGGCCTCAGCAAACTTATTGATTCCATAAATCTCTTGCCTTTTAATCAACAAACCGGTATCAGCAGTTAGTCCTTTGGCGGTTGATGTGGAGAGCTTTTCGGCAATGCCCTCTACTCCACCATGAAACTTTACTTTCTTCA